GCTTCTTGAGCACTCCTTTCTGTGAACCTGTCCTGCAACCCTGAGAAGTGCCCTGACTGGGAATTGAACCCACGACCCTTTAGTTCACAGTCCAGTGCTCAATCCACAGAGCCACACTAGCCAGGGCTGCTTATTTGTACTTCTTAAACCCCTCACCTCTTTACCCATTCCACAACACCCTCTAAAGGTTTGGTGGGAGGTCCTGTGAACTCAGTGTCGGTGGTCCTTCTTCAGGGAGGAGCTTTTTGACGGGGATGCTAGACTGTGCTCTGGAAGTCAGTTATTTTCCACCTCTCCTGAAGGAGGATGCTGCAGTCCAATTCTTTGCATTGTGAGTGCTTCCTGTGGTAGGCCAGAGTTCCGTGTCCCTCTGCTGTCTGGGTGGACATGTTACTTGTTTTACCTATGAAGGTGAGTAGACGTGATATGTGCCAGTTTCAAGCAAAACATTTAAGAAGCATAATTAGTCCTCTCTCTCCTTTCTCCTTTTCTTTAAGAATGACATATTCCAAGAAGGACTGCTTTAATCACAGCAGAATGCAGCTTGAAATTGCTGTGTAATATAAGTGAGGAAATAAATCTTTTTTGTAATCCATTGAGACTGAGGGCAGTTTCTACCACACTATAACCAAAAGAAAAATGATTAATATGGTATATTTTGTGGAATGTAGTTGGCTCAGACTTTCTGTTTCTACCATCAAAATGCCCTCTATATCAATGATTCTGTCTCTGTTCTTCTTGCTTGCTTAGTTTGTTTTTGAGATTCAAGTATTGATAGATTTGTATTTTTGCCATTTTATTGTTCATAGTTTTGATCTTCTTTTTCTTAAATAAGTCCCTTCAACATTTCGTATAACAATAGTTTTGTGATGATGTACTCCTTTAGTTTACTCTTGTCTGGCAAGCTCTTTATCTGCCCTTAGATTCTAAATGATAGCTCTGCTTGGTAGAGCAATCTTGGCTATAGGTCTCTGTTTTTGATGACTTTGAATACATCTTGCCAATCTCTTCTGCCTGCAAAATTTCTTTTGAGGAATCAGCTGATTGTCTTATGGGAAGCCCCTTGTAGATAACTAAGTTTTTTCTTACTGCTTTTATTTTTATTTCTTAAAACCCTTCCACATGCCAACCACCCTGTGCAGTACTTTTTTTAACTTTCACATATAATTTCTTTTTATTTATTTCTTATTTGTTTTAAATGATCTTATTGTTGTTCAATTACAGTTGTCTGCATTTACCCCCCTACCACTCCCCCTACCCCAACCATCCCCACTTCCCTCCCCTGCTTCCACCCCTCCTCGGTTTTGTCCATGTGTCCTTTATAGTTGTAGCCAAAAACTCTTTCTCCCATCCCCAATTATCTACCATCCCCTCCCCTCCCCTCTGGTTACTGTCAGATTGTTCTTAATCTCAATGTCTCTGGTTATATTTTTCTTGCTTGTTTGTTTTGTTGATTATTTTCTAGTAAAAGGTGAGATCATGTGGGGGAGCTTTGCCTACAGAGGCCCCCATCCACCATGGATGAGAATAAGTCTACCAAGACAAAATCTGCTTGGGGAGGAAAGGTGGCAGATCTCTGAAAGGAGGCATGCCAAGAGCCTTTTCCTCAATGGGCTTTTATTGGGTTTGTTTGCACAAGAATACAGCTAAAGCTCATTATTCATTGTCAGGCAGTAAGGATCAAACAATAGATAACAATGAACTCTGAGGGGCTATTTTGAGTCAGGGTCTATTAGCTAAAGAGATACAAAACTTTGGGAGACAAACTCATTTTCTGCTCAGATCTTTATCATTTAATTAAGAACATTTTTAGCAAAGCAGGTTTCACAGGTTTTTAGGTATTCTTTCTTAGGTTTGATAACTGAGGGAGCCTGCCCTTTCCAGCACAGGGCTGTACCACCCTTTGTCATTGTTTCAGGTTTAAGTCAGGCAGTGGAATTTAGGCAGTCAAGAGATTAGGAGACTTCTCCCAGAAAGAATGATGACTCAGGCTTTGTCAAAGTCAAGGGGCGAAGGTCCATCACCCTCCTTTGCTGTAGCGACTCAAGTCCTTCCTTGGGGCCTCCATGTGATCGTGCCTGTCTTAGATCATTCCCCCCTTGGGGAATCTTACCCGTCATTGGCTAACCGACCAGGCACTGGGGGCCAGTTATGGATGAAGGAAAAAGAGCAGAGGAAACAATCCTGCCAGGGAGATAAGCTTTGTCTCCTTAGTGGCTTCTGGTCCTAAGGTCGCTCCATCAGCCTTAGCCTTGTGGGGTTAGAGCTTTTGAAACCAGACAGGGCAGCTCTCAACAAGATCACATGGTATTTGTCTCTTACCACATGGCTTATTTCACTTAGCATAATGCTCTCCAATTCCATCCATGCTGTTGCACAGGTAAGAACTCCTTTCTTTGTGCTGCATAGTGTTCCATTGTGTAAATGTACCATTGTTTTTTTTGATCTGTTCATTTATTGATGGCAACTTGGGTTTCTTCCAGCACTTGACTATTGTAAATGGTATTGCTATGAGAATTGGGGTGCATAGGTTGTTTTGGATTGGTGTTTCAGAGTTCTTAGGGTATAATCGTAGCAGTGGAATTGCCAGGTAAAAAGGCAGTTCCATTTTTAGTTTTCTGAGGAAATTCCATACTCTTTTCCACAGTGGCTGCACCTTTATCTTCAACATTTGGCATCTTACTTATGCTGTGTCCTGGAGGGGACATCTTTACATCCATCTTGTGTAGGACTCTCTGCACTTCCTGGACTTGCTTGTCTATTTCCTTCACCAAATTAGGGAAGTTTCCTTTCACTGTTTTTTTAAATAGATTTTCAATTTCTCTCTGTTTCTCTTCTCTTTTTGGCACTCTATGATGTAAATGTTGGACCCCTTGAAGATGTGCCAGAGGCTGCTAATACTAGTTGGCATTTTTTTTTGGATTCCTTTTTCTTCTTCTTGTTCTGATTGGTTATTTTCTGCATCCTTATGTTCCAAATCATTGATTTGGTTCTCAGTTTCATGCACTGCACTGTTGTTTCCCTGTAAGTTGTTCTTTATTTCATTAGTGTATCCTTCATTTCTGACTGGATTTTTTATGCTGTTGAGGTCCTCAATCAGTTCCTGGAGCATCCTTATACTCAGTGTTTTGAAGTTTGCATCTGGAAGATTGCTTATCTCCATTTTGTTTAGCTCTTTTTCTGGAGTTTGGATCTGTCCTTTCATTTGCACCATGTTTCTTTGTCTCCTCATTTTGGCAACCTCCCCATGTTTGTTTCTATGTATTAGGTAGAGCTGCTTTGACTTCATGTCTTAGTAGAGTGGCTTCATGCAGTAGGGTCCTGTGAGGTCCAGTAGTACAGCCTACCCTATGATCCAAGCTGAGTACTCGAGGTGTGCCCTTTGTGTGGGCTGAGTACACCCTCCTCTTGTAGTTAGCCTTGGTTTCTGTTGGCTGATCAATGGGAGGGATTTTCCTAGGCCAGTTACAGCAAGGATTGGCTGTAAACCACTGACCACCAACCTCTGCCCTTCATGGAAGATCAGCTGTGCAGGGGCATGGTGGTGGTGCTCTCATGTAGTCTATAGCTGTCCACAGGGTTTGCAGGCCCTAGGGTTTCCTTGGTGGTGCAGGCCAGAATCAGCCCACACCTGTGTTCTGCCCAAGGTCACGTTACCTAAGCTATAAAGCAATCCAAGATGGCTGCTATTTATGCTGGGCTTGGAGTTTCCAAAGTGCAGCAAAACTGTGAGTCTAGGCTGGCTGCTGCTAGTGCTTGCCCTGGGGCTCACTGAGGCCAGCTGTTGCTTGTTTGATAGGATTTAGGAAGTTGTGAAGCATGAGCCAAGACCAGCGACTCACATGGAAATATAACTTGGGTGGGCCAGTGAATTGGGTTTGGCAGAGTCTCTGGGGATCTCTAAGGTGGGTCAAACAGTGTTAGCCAGGTTGATGGAGACTCAGATATGGCATCAGCTTTCCAGCTCTGTGGAAGGAGAGTTTAGGAACAGGACAATTGCCTCTATCTACCTTAATGCCAGATACTTCAGTTTCTCCCTGTATACCACTGGTACCCTTCAAGTTGCTACCCTGGTGCTGGAGCTCTGAGGAAGGGAGTCTGAGTATGTGAATTCATGTGTGGGTTTTTTTAGAAGAACTCCTTGGGGGTCCACAAATTTCTTCCACCATCTCAATGTTTGCTTCTTTTTTTTTTGAGCTAGAAGTTGTGGGGACTTATCTTCCAAGCACTGGGACCCTGGGCTGGGGGACCTAATGTGGGGCTGGGAGTCCTCTCTCCCAAGACGTCCCTCCAGAATTTTTATCCTGCACACATGGGTGAGGGACCAGCCTGTTCTGTGTCTGCATGCCTCTCTACCAGTCTGAATGGATGTGATTTCTTTAGGTCTGTATTTGTCAGACTTTCATTCAACTTCATTTCTGATGGTTCTGAGTGATGGTTGTTCTATATTTTAGTTGTAATTTTGATGTGGTTGTGTGAAGAAGTGAGCCATATCTGCCTATGGTGTCATCTTGACTGGAAGTTCCATAGGATTTTAACATAGGCAGTTATGTCTATCTCATTAAAGTGAAAATTCTCTGGGATTAAGTAGTTATTATTGTTTTATTTACCTAGCATTCTACCAGGTCCAGAGTTGGTACTGAATATCTGTTGAATGAATGAAATAAACTCAAACTTCTCAATTCTTCTGAGAATACAGATGAAGAAAAAGGAACTACAACTAAAGGTATGTACAAAAGCAAAAAAGTATAAAGAAAGAAATCAAGAAATCTAGTTTAATTTTCTTAAATTATGTCTCTCATGCTATTTAGTATATAGCATTTAGTAGTTTTCATAAAAACATACAGTGCAAATAGTATGTGATCAATACAAATACATTAAAGTAATTCTTTTCTCTAGAGTTCAGAGAATGACACATTCATTAATAACATAGAGTGAAATATGTTTAGAGAGTTTTAAAGGGATCTCACTCCATGTCTCTTTCTCTGACTTCTAGGCATATGGCAGGAGTGAACCAGACGACTTTCTTTGGGTTCCTCCTCTGAGGACTCTCAGAGCAGCCAGAGCAGCAGCACATCCTCTTCCTGCTGTTCCTGTGGATGTATGTTTTCACTGTGGCTGGGAACCTATTTGTTGTCCTGGCCATTGGCACTGACACACATCTCCACACGCCCATGTACTTCTTCCTTGCAATCCTTTCCTGTGCAGACATCCTTTTCACTTCCACCACTGTGCCCAAGGCCCTGGTGAACATTCAATCCCAGAGCAGATCCATTTCCTATGCAGGATGCCTGGCTCAGCTCTACTTCTTGACATTTGGGGATATGGACATCTTCCTTCTGGCCACAATGGCGTATGACCGCTACATGGCCATCTGCCACCCTCTTCACTACATGATGATCATGAACCGCCAGCACTGCACCCTCCTGGTTACTGTCTACTGGACCCTTATGAGTCTTGTTGCCTTGACCCACACCTTCCTCATATTCTGGCTCTCCTTCTTCTCTGAGAAGATCATTCCTGACTTCTTCTGTGATCTGGGACCTGTGATGAAGGTGTTCTGCTCAGACACTCGGGTCAATCAGCTTGTGCTCCTCTTCTTGTGGGGAGCAGTCACTTTAATCCCCTTTATGCTCATCCTGGTCTGTTACATCCACATCTTTTTAGCCATCCTGAGGGTCCCCTCTGCCCAGGGAAGGTACAAGGCCTTCTCTACCTGTGGGTCCCACCTTGTTGTTCTTGCCCTCTGTTTTGTGACAGTGATCAGAGCTTATCTTTGCCCCTCGTCCTCATCCCCCAACTCAGTGCAAGAGGACACAGCTGCTGCTGTCATGTACACAGTGGTGACTCCCCTGCTGAACCCCTTCATTTATAGTTTGTGGAACAAGGACATGAAAGGAGCCTTGGGAAGACTTCTCAGGGGAAAAGTCTCTTTCTCATGGGGCAAGTAATGGCTGTAGAGAGACTGCAGGTGTTCTCTGTTCTGTCCAGTGAAAACCTTGACTGAAATTTATTTCTCATCTGTCTCATTTTTTAATCTCACAGTTGTCTCCTCACCACTCCCCTCCCAGGTTCCCTACAAGAATTTGATAATGTTGAGGAAAACTAAGATTTTGCATTGTGCTTTAAAGTTAATCTGTTAAGAGTTGCTTATTTACTCATTTATTTCACTTGTAATATAACTTCTGGAGAATGAATGTCTTGCAATGTTCTTAATTAAAAAATTTTGTGCAGCCTTTTATGTTATTCATCAAAACTTGATCCTGGAAGGTAGATTAATTTTAAAAATATTCAGCATGTGATGTCAATATTGGGTGTCAAAGAGTTTATAACATTAAGAGAACTACTATATTTTTTCTACAAAAATTGGAAATGATACAAATACTTATTGCCTGAAGGTTATGAGTTAAAAATATCATAATCATTAAAATAAAGCACAGTTACAATTTTGTTCTTTCTGTTTGTGTGTGATGAGAATACTTAAGATCTACCTTCTTAGACAAATTTCAAGTGTATAAATGGTATTGTTATCTATATTCACACTACTGTGCATTCAATCTTCAGAAATTGTTTTTTATTTTTGTTTAAGTATGGTTGTCTCCATTTCAACCCCCTACTCTCCCCCACCCTAGCCATCCCCACCTCCCACCCTCAATCCTATCCCTCTTTGGCTTTGTCTATGTGTCTTTTTTTTTAAACATAGTTTTTAAAAAAAGATTTTATTTATTTATTTTTAGAGAGGGAAGGGAGGGAGATAGAGAGAGAAAAAGAGAGAAACAGTGCAGTTGCTGGGGGCCATGCATGTACCCCGACTGGGAATCAAACCTGCAACACTTTGGTTTGTAGCCCATGCTCAATCCACTGAGCTATGCCAGCCAGGGCTATCTATGTGTCTTTTATAAAGGTTCGTTGACAACTATTTCCCACTTTTCCCCTGTTATGCCCTCCCACCTCTCCTCTGGTTACTATCAGTTTGTTTTTCATTAATCTTGTACAACTAATATTTGTATCCATTGACCAATATCTGCCCTGTCCTTTACATTGCTAAGAAGGCTCACAGATAATGCTGATATTGGTAGTCTAAAGCCCACACTTCAAGTAGGAAGACTATGAAGTAAGTAAAGGACCTGTAATTGGAAAATTATAGGACATTGGAGAAAGAATTTGAAGAAGGTACAAAAAATGAAAATATACATTGTTTTCATAGATGGGAAGAATTAGCATCATTAAAATATTCAAACTACCCAAAGCAATCTATAGATGCAATGCAATCCTTATCTATAGCATTCTTCACAGTGCTAAAACAACAATCCAAAAACTTATATGGAAGCACAAAAGACACCAAATAGGTACAGCAATCTTGAGAAAGAAGAAGGAAGTTGGAAGAATCACATTACCTAATATCAAAATATTCTACAAGTCCATAGTAATCAAAACAGCATGACATTGGCATAAGAACAGGCATGTAGATCAATGAATCAGAATAGAGAGCTCAGAAATAAACTGATACCTATATGGTTAACTAATATTTCACAAAAGAAGCAATGACATACAATGGGGTAAAGGCAGTCTATTTAAAAATAGTGTTGGGCCCTGGCTGGTGTAGCTCAGTGTACTGAGTACTGGCCCATGACCAAAGGGTCACTAGTTCCATTCTCAGTCAGAGCACATACCTGGCTTGCAGGCCAGATCCTCAGTGTTGGATGTGCAAGAAGCAGCCGCACACTGATGTTTTTCTTCCTCTCTTTCTCCTTTCCCTCCCCTCTCTCTAAAAATAGATAAATAACATCTTTAAAAAATAAAAAAAATGATGTTGGCATAATTGGACAGATACATGCCAAAAATGAAACTAGACCATCTTCTTACACCATATACAAGAATAAACTCAAAATGGATTCAAGATGGAAATGTAAGAGCTGAAACTATAAAACTCCTAGAAGAAAACATAACTAGTAAACATTGTCACCTTTCTATTAGCAATATTTTTTTCTGATATATCTCCTCAGGCAAGAGACACAAAAACACATAAACAAATGAGACTACATCAAACTAAAACATTTTTGCATAGCAAATAAAACCATCAACAAAATGGAAAGTCAACCTGCTGAATGGGAGAAAATATTCACTATTGATACATCTGATAGAGAATTAATATCCAAAATTTTATAAAGGAACTAATAAAACTCAATACCAATTGAACCCAAACAATTCAATTAAAACATGAGCAGAAGACCAAAATAGACATTTCTCCAAAGAGGATATAGAAATGGCCAATAGACATATGAAAAGATGCTCAACATCACTAATCATCAGAGAAATGCAAATGAAAACTTCAGTGAGATATCACCTCACAGTTGTCAGAATGGCTACCATCAGTAAGTTGACAAACAAGTATTGGTGAGGATGTGGTGAAAGGGGAATGAACCCTCATGCACTGTTGGTGGGAATGCAGATTGGTGCAGCCACTGTGGAAAGCAGTGTTGGAGATACCTCAAAAAATTAAAAATAGAACTGTTTTATGACCCAGCAATCCCACTTCTGGGAATATATCCCAAGCAATCCAAAACACTAATTTGAAAGACTATCTGTACTCCCATGTTCATTGCACCATTACTAACAATAGCCAAGATATGGAAACAGTCCAAGTGCCCACCAGAAGATGAGTGCATAAAAAAGCAGTGGTACATTTACACAATGGAACACTACTCAGCCATAAAAAGAAGGAACTCTCACCATTTGTTATGGCATGGATGGACCTGGAGAACATAGGGCAGTGAGAGAAAGACAAATATCATATGATTTCACTTGTAAGTGGAATCTAATGAACAAAATAAACTAACAAAAAAAGAGCACACATCATGCTGTTAGAGGGGAGGGGGCTGTAGAACTGGCTGATAAGGTGAAGAGATTAAGCAAAAAAAATATGCAACATTATAGACACAGACAATAGCATGGTGTTGACTGACCATAGGGGAGGGTGGGAGGAGGTAGAAGGGGGTATAGAGGGAATAAATGATGGTGGAAAGAGACTTGACTTGGGATGGTAAAGACAAAACAGAGTAGACAAATATGTTATAGAACTGTATGCCTGAAACCTATATAGTTGTACTAAGCAATGTTATACCAATAAATTCAGTAAGAAGGTTTAAGAAAAAGTATAAGTATAAAGATGTTTGCCTTTGCTTTTGAACATGGTTTGTCAGCCATCAAGGATTTTTTAGAAAGGAATATTGATGTGGATTTCTTCTTCTATTTAGTTTGGAGGCTAATGAAAATCCCCTCCAGGTCACAAATATAAGGTGATCCAAGGTCCAGAAGTTGTCACTCATGGCTCAGATGTGTGAACATTTGTGTCCAAACTTCTCTGTCCACCAGTGTACCATCCTGTCTCCCTCCTTCCACATATAAACCCCCATGTTTGTGAAACATCTTTTGACCTTAGATGTGATGGTTGGACACATTTACCAATCATGTTGCCCTATGTAGGTGATACAAATCTATGATTAGCAAGTAGTCTGCTTTTAAGACTGTGGAAATGTCACTGTAACCTAAACAACCTAATGACAGTGACTGGCAGGAGACCTCATCAACTCAGTGTGGCTGTTGTTGGATATGTCCAGTGAGGGAGAAATAATTGGTCACTGCAGTGTGAAGGGATACAACATTCCACAATGATGGTTCTTACTGTGTGTACAGCATGTCTCAGAGTGACCCAAAGCATCTGCCTTTGCCTATTGTCCTTTCCCAGTGGAAAGGTGACTGAAACCAGTTTTATGAGCTGTTTGCTTGGAGATCTCAGCCAAGGCCTTAGAGAAATGGCAGCTGTTTGATGTTCTGCAAACAAGAAAAAATGCTATAGTCCTTGTGTCACTGGACAGTGGTCCCTGAATCCTGGATTCTTCTTTTCAACAGGATTCCAGCCATGTCCATCAAATCATTTTGAAATATTTGACAAGACAGGGACAGTATGTGAGAGAGCCTGGACATATGTCGCTGAATACCCACATGCATACAAAGCTAAGATGCAGTTGGTCATTGCCTGTTGCTGCTCCAAAGGCCCACTTCCACTGTTTCACCCTCCTGGAGGTGGGCTTGTCAATGATGAGCCATGAACTCCCTGAAAGTCAAAAAGTCTGTGATGGTCACTGAGAGTGAACGAGGACAACAAGAGTGGCTCTGCTATGCCCACCTGTGGGGACATCAGGTCGTAGCGCAGCACAGCCCCGATAGACTCTCTCCCTCTACCCCACTCCAGCGCCATCACACGGCTGCTCCCAAAAGGAAACACCAGGAAAGATGGAAACTTCTTCGCAATGGCAATTCTTCCTGGTGAAAACATCCAGGGTCTATTCTGCTCTGTTTCCATTTCAATCCTCCTTCTCATAGTAAACATTGGTTATCATCGTCCACATCCTTCAAAAGTAGTCCTATTAATTCATACCTTTGTTGGAAAGGCCAATATCTGATTTTCATGTTCTCACAGCATGCCTGTGAGAAATCTTGAAACACTGCCTATGCAGGAATGGAAAGATTTCCAAGGTGTCTCGAAGACCCGGGCACTTTCCTGCCGTGGCCGGCTCTCATGTCATAATGTTGAACACAATCCCTAGCCCAAGGTACTGCAAATGATAATCTGGGGGCTCATTTTTTGGGTCACTGAAGCTTTGCTTCTTATGGATTTCCCCTCCAGCCAAAATTTGTATGTTTTTCTTTTAACAGCAAAGGACAGTCAGCATCCCCATCCATTATGTGGTCAGAAACAAAAGCCTCGGGTGCTCTCATGTCACGTCCATGAGAGGCCACAGAGGGAACATCCACAGAGACAGGGAGAGATCAGGGTCTGCCCGGGCAGAGCGGGCAGGAGGAGGAGCGAGGCAGCTGCAGGTCCTGGGTTGGTGTGGCGGAGCTCAGAGCTCGTTCTGGAACAAGGGAGTGCTTGGGACGTGATGGA